GAGTTGTGTCTGGGTTTGCTTGTATTCGGCTCTTTACACCCCTGTGATATACATGAAATTTGTAGAGATCATACTCATATTTTATGCACTCAAAAATTTATTTGATAAAATGATATACTTGAAATTATTTAGGACATGCAAAATGGTAGCCATATTTGTTGGAATTTAATATATTTAATCAAATTTACATTAACAAATGGCAAAATAAGTATTCAGTCAATGCAAGTTAATATTCAACAGTAAATACACTAACCAATACATTATGTAAAATAAATTTTGGCAAATTTAATATAAGAAAGTATATTTTATAGCCTTGGAAAACTAATATGCAATGAGACAAAAAATATAGTTTATCATCTTTTAAAATATTATTTTAATAAAATGAAACATTTATTTCAATAGTTAAATTTGTTTTAACAAAGTCAAATCTCGAGAATAATTTAGGTTTGCTTTAAGGTTTAGGGTTTACAATTGAGCGGCGACGAAGAAAATATCATACCTGAATGATCGACAAAAGGTGACGAAAGGAAGTCCCTCTGGACGGTCATTAGTCTTCAGAACGATCAATGGGAAGCACTCATTCAGACCATAAATTGATCAAACTAAGACTGACCAGACGATCGACGACCCTTATCGGTCAGATAAATCTCGAGCTTTATCTTATGCAAATAATATTATAAATACCAAAAAAAAACCTCCTCACAGATTAATGATTAAGGAGCCAGTATGCACTTAGATAATATTCATACCTAGGTTTATAAATAGAGATTCATATCATGAATAAAAGATAAATTTTGCTTGTTTATTTCTATTCATTCACTCTTTCTCTCTATCTTAATTGCCTCGTAATTGAACGTTTCATTCCTCGTGTATGTTCGTCGGACAATCTCAGATTCAACATTATTAGTTAAATTCATTGATTAATTTTAGCATTCAAGGTTTTTAACATAAAAAAATAATAATAATAAACAAAAAAATAAATTAAAAAATAGATAAAAATTGAAGTAAATATAAATTTACTTCTTGATTTAAAACTCACGAAAAATATGATTTTATCTAAAAAAATCGACTCAATGTTTAAAATAAAATAACAAATGATTTTGCAAACCAATACTGGCGATTGTGCCGGTATGTCAGCGTTGGGGTGCTCGACAAAACTTCAGGCCTGGGTGGTCGGCGAAGCTTCTTGATCTGGTGTTCATCAAAGCATGCGACGTCGACGAGCTACAAACAACTGAGATTGTATTGCATATGATTAGCACAAAGGAGGAAAGTTGGCATCAGGTTGGTCGACAAAGCTCCAAACATGGGTAGTCGGCAAAGAATACGACATTGGGCTGTTTGCGAAGAAGATCAGCCTAATCAAAAGAGTAAAAAAGGATCTCCTATACGAGTCGTGGAAGGAGAAAAATAATTTAATTAAAATGTTATATTTAAAATTTGAATGATTAAATAATTATATTTAATATTTTGGATGGTTGTTAAATACATTATTTTTAATAATAAAAGATGGGTTATTTCGGGTCAGAAAAAAGCCCGTTTGGTCGATTACGGGACCGTTCGTGGTCAACGCCCGGAAACTCCGTCAACTGTTATTATCCCTCGTGCCGTTTTTCACTTGTGAATTTTTCTAATGGAAGATTTACATTCATATCATTCAATTTCTATATATTTTCATTTCTACCAAAAAAACATTAAATCTAGCATCTAAATTTCACTTTCATATTCCTATCACCCAAATTTTCTAAAAATTAGTTAAGAATTAGATATATGAATACATGAGAATTGACTTGCAATTTTGCATGCAAATATCACCTTTAAAGAGTTGCATTTCACTGTTAAAATGTTAAAGTGATGATATATTTGATATGATATGAAAGATTTCACTCATAAAAAATTAAATTTTCACGATACTTTTAAAAATTACAGCTGATTCCTCAAAATAATAGTAGGAAAACGGTTGTTATAGATCTATGATAATAATTAATCAAATTTCTTTTCTCCTTCCACGAATCATATAGGAGATCATTTTTTTTACTTTTTCAAATAGGTTGGCCTTGACCCTAGCTCGTTGATACTAAGACGCTTCGTCGGAATATTCGTTGGCCACCCACGTTTGAAGCTTTGTCGACCACCCTGATGCCAACTTTCCTCCTTTGCTCAAATCACATGCAATACAATCTGATTTGTTATTAGGCTACCTGTTCTTCTTATTATGGTTGCTAGATTGGATGACAGTTGCTACATTGTGTAATTTTTCCTCGGAATGTTGGTTGGTTTTGGTTTTTGTTATATGGTTATTCGTTTTGCTCTTTTGTTGCTAAGATGGATGACATATGTTGATTATTTATCTATCTATGGAGGGATGCACAGACTTTGATTTTAACAATCTAGCTTCCTCTTTTGTTTATATTGGTTTTTGGTTTCAGTAGTTTTTGCTGACTTTTCTATTCTCCATTATTTCAAGCGATTGACATCATTTCTTTTCAGCATCGATTTATCTTCAGGCTTTTGGAATATTATCGATAATTTGCATATTTTGCGTCCACCTGTTACTTTTTTGAGTTTTGGTCCAATTTTCTTAAATTGATAAGATACAAATATTGTTTATAACTTGGTCAGGATTTTGGAAACTCAATAACTATATATGAAAATCCTCAAACCAAGAGCATTAATAGCTCAAAATCTAATTGAATCTCGCTTCAAGTATTTCCATGATTAACTTGAGGGGCATTTACATATATACCATACAATTCTTACATATTTACATATCTAACATCTAAACATTCATATTTACATGCATATCACTAGAATTCTTAATATCACATCAAAATTATCGCCATCATTATTATTTTAAAAGTGAAATACACATGCACCTAATTACTTGCTTACAAACTTCATTCCTGCAAATATTATTAATGTTTGTCAACCAAGCGAAAAGTCACCATGCAAAATTGATTTCCAAATTTTAACAAAAATATTAAAAAAAATGAGGACAGAATAATAAAACTTAATATAAATTAAATCAGATTATCTTGACCTAATTTTTTTATTTTAACTATTAAATTAGCTAATAATCATCTTTAGACAAAACTTAAAATATAAAAACTGACAAAAACAAAAAATTATGAAAAAAAAGTAAAAAATTGGATCAAAATATCATAATCAAAATTTAAATAGAATATAATTTAAAACAATTATAAGTATTGTAAGATAAATACAATAAACAAATAATTAATTACTTTTAATATCATATTTATCTTAAAATATTTTTAAAATATACTTTATCAATCTTCCTTACATAAAAATTTTGGAAGATTTACATATATATATATATATATATATATATATATATATATATAAAAGGGAAATAACAACTCGTGACTCCCTACATGTTAATATAGAATGAAAGTACATAATTGTGGGAGGGAAGAAGTATTCCCATCTAAAAACAAAAAGAAATGCATTAAGGTCACAGGGGTTCCACTTTTCACATTACAACTTAATGCCAAAAAATTGTAAGAAAAACAATAAAAGGTATTGTATACCCAAAAAATGCATGAGATCCAGTGCACCAAAAGGAAAAGTATACCCAGAATTGATATGTACACCAAAATACAAAATGAGATCCAAAATAAGGCCTGAGAGATGAGAAAAGCTCCCATGTGACATCCCAACAGATAACAACAAACTCCAATATCATCCAAGGATCAAACCCCACAGGAAACCTTGATCGAGCTAAGAGGAATGAGAGATCAGCATCAATCCTGCAGACAAAGCTGGCAGAAACAATCCCTCCAGTCCAGAGCAAGCCACATGAAACCTCTTGCAAAAGTTCAAGCAGAAATTTGAGGCAATATATATATATATATATAGTTATATAGATAACACTTAAATCATTTATATTTATATGTCTAATGCCTAAGATTTAATATTTACATTTATGCCACCTTATTTTTGGACGAAATAGTGTATTTTTGATGTGATAGGAAAAAATCGAGTGGCATAATTAAAAAAAAAGGTAAAGTTTAGAGGTTAAATATGTAAATACATAAAAATTTTGGTATATATGTAAACAATTTACACAGACCCCACCAAGCCCAATGAGTCCACCTCCCATACCCACCTTCCTCCCGCTCCCACCAACTACCGTCCACACCTCACCTACTTTCTCGCACACTTTGCTCTTCAACACCATATAATTATGTATTTTATATTAGAAAATTACGTTCTATAAAAACACCCCTCTGAAATTTTTAAAAGATATTTAAATATATGTACATGAGATTGATGATGATATATTTTATATTAATTATTCAATTTTCAATTTTTTTTAAAATATATAAATGCAAGTGAGGCACATCAAAATTTTACATAAATACTTTCATATTTATAATATTTTTACATCATAAATAGATCTTAAAAAGTCCCATTTTAATTTCAAAAACAAAAAAAAAATGTATTTTATTTTAAAAAATAATAATTTAATTATTTTATATGATTAAAATATTGAGTGATATTCATTTAAACTAACAATTGCAATATTAGAATTATAAATAAATATGAAATATGTGATATGTAGGCAAATACCTCTAATTATTTTGCATAAAATATGTATTTTAATCCAAATTTACACATTTATGAAATTAAAATGTTATATATGCAATATTTAACTTTAATTTTAGATATTATGATTATGGGCAATCACAGCTTATTATTTACAAATAAATCATCATCTTGGATGCATTTTTCAAATTCTCACTCAAATATTAACTCATATTTTTCATTATTATTAAATTCTCAATAGTTGATCATGGCACGTGCAAATACAATTCAAAATAATACATAGGGATTTACAAATATAGGTATTTTGGGGGGTCTCTATGTAATTATACGATAATAACAAACATTAATTAATTTTAATTAACACTTTAAAAATCTCAGTTGCCATTCTCCCTTCGCTCTATAAATAGTGCCAGACTCGCCCATTCTCATTCGCGCCCAGCCCTGCTGTGACCTCCGTCTTCTGCTCTATTCCTCTCGCTTCTTAGGGCTGAGATTCATCGTAGAAGGTGAGGGATTTTCTCTCTGCCGATACGTTTTCTCTGCTTGTTGTCCCCATAGCATAAGGCTGTCTAGGGCATTTGCATCCTCTGTTGGTCTATTGACAGTATCGCGTACCTCAACTAGTTGTTGTATTGACAGATCTGATCTATTTGTTCGAATTTCTGGTAAGTTTTATCAGTGGCAGGGCGCGTTGGATCTTCGAGGTGTTGATTGTGTTTAGGGTGTTGATGAAGTGATTTGGTTTTTTCTATGTTGGGTTGGGAGCGAGATGAGTTGCATGAGATATGGTGGTTTTGGTTTTGGCTTGAATGGAATGGGAGGATTTAGGTTGGGATCTGGTTTTAGGTGAGTTTGGATCGATAGATCTGGTGTGAAGTAGAATTGGAGATTTAAATATGTCGGTTAAAGAGCTTGTTCGTGGGTCGGATCTGTGATTATGTGGCTGGAGTAGGTCGCAGACGATATGGTTTTAATTGATCCGAATTTTTGTGTTTGTTGTTTAATTGCTTTGCTTTGTCAAGCTTTTTTTATTTGGAGATTTGGTGATATATTATCCTTTTTAGGTGCAGCCGCCTTTGATTTCTCTGTTTGCTTTGCTAGCCTTTTTTTTTTTTTTTAAATTGTTTTGGAGCATTATTGTATTGTTCTCATGAACCTTTTTTTTTTCATTCTGAATTTAGTAGAGTTGTATTCTACTTTCCTTTTTTCCTTAGAGAGGAATTGAATGGGTTAGCCAGAAGAATATGAACGTAAAATTTTAATTTTTTTTTTTTTTTTGTAAGAAAACTGTTTTAGTGCTTTATTCTTTTTTTTTTTTTTTTTGTAAGAAAACTGTTTTAGTGCTTGATGCTTTTTTTTTTTTTTTTTGTTCAAGTTGGATATTCAAATATCAAATAATTGATTTTTCATCTATTTTTGCGTTGAGTTTGTGGATTATCTGTTACAGAGTTAAGGCAACTTTGTTGTTTCACCTAATTTGAAAATTTGAAGTTTTGATGCAATCTGATTTTATTACTTTATTGCACAGAAACATGGCGTCACACATTGTTGGATACCCTAGAATGGGGCCAAAGAGAGAGCTTAAGTTCGCTTTGGAGTCATTTTGGGATGGTAAAAGTACTGCAGAGGATTTGCAGAAGGTTTCTGCCGATCTGAGATCTTCCATCTGGAAACAGATGTCTGATGCTGGGATCAAGTACATTCCAAGCAATACCTTCTCTTACTATGATCAAGTTCTTGACACAACTGCATTACTCGGGGCAGTTCCTGAGAGATATAATTGGAATGGTGGTGAGATCGGTTTTGATACCTACTTCTCCATGGCTAGAGGAAATGCCTCTGTGCCTGCTATGGAGATGACAAAATGGTTTGACACCAACTAGTAAGTCACTCAACACAAACTATCTTAAGCCAGTTACTTGTTTGGCAGTACATGGTTTGATTATATCTGGGCTTGTTCCATTTAGCTTCTTATATTTAGACTTCCTTTTATTTGACATTGTTGATCCAGCCACTTTATTGTACCTGAATTGGGTCCCAACACCAAGTTCTCATATGCATCTCACAAGGCAGTCTCTGAGTACAAGGAGGCAAAGGCTGTATGTACTTCATCTTCTTCTTTATCTTTTTTGGGGCATTTCAATCTTTATTAGTTAATCATATATTATGTTTTAGTGCCCTGATTTATTTCTCTCTATGGACTTGCTTTATTGTATTTATGCACTCCACAATTTTAACGCACAAAAGTAACTAAAGAATCTAATACAAACTGTCTACTAGTAACTATAAAAGCTCATCAAATCCATGTTATGGTGCATTTTCTACTTTTATTAGCAATTTTAAATATTTATTTTCCTCCCATGAACAGGGGTGTAAACAAGATGAGTTTGATCGAATGTAGTGTTGTTAAGCTCATCACATTAAGCCAATGAGTCAGATTTTTCTGTTCATCTTCATGTCAGTAACTCAGGCCTCAGGGCATTGAACGTGAATTGTTCATGAACATACAATCTACGAGATAGTCATGTATAAATTAGAAATGTACATGTCAACGATCCTAAATAATCAAGCTACTTTTGAGACCAACAAGACTGAATACAGCTTTGTTTTTGTTTAGCTTGTTAAATAAATGAGTTCATAAAATTAATTGAACAAAAGCTTAATTATTGAGCCGCACAAGGATATTGAGTTCTTTTTGTAGCCCTACATGAGAGCCTGGGAGGAGAATTAGCTGAATCACTTTTAATTGTTGAATTAAAATTTTTTTCCTTGCTTGCTTAAGATTGATAAATTTCCTCTTTTTTGCATGTTTTTAAAGCTCACAAATTTAAACATAAAAATTCAGCTTAATTTTGTTTAACAAAATCTGGTCGTATGTACTTCAATGTTTGAAGCAATTCAAGACCTTTGATTTATTTGTTGGTCTGATCATTGATTTGTTTCGCTCTTTCAGCTTGGGATTGATACAGTTCCTGTGCTTGTTGGACCCGTGACTTACTTGTTGCTCTCTAAGCCTGCCAAAGGTGTTGAAAAGACCTTTCCTCTTCTCTCTCTTCTTGAGCACATTCTACCGATCTACAAGTAAGAGTTTATTACATAAATTTCCCTTTTTTTATGATTTTTTTCCCTTCACTGTTTAGTTTTGTTGCTTAAACAATCTGAAAATCAACAGGGAAGTTGTTGCTGAGTTGAAGGCAGCTGGTGCTTCATGGATTCAGTTTGATGAGCCCACCCTTGTCAAGGATCTTGATTCTCATCAGTTGGAGGCCTTTACCAAGGCTTATGCAGAACTTGAATCTTCTTTTTCTGGATTGAATGTGGTCATTGAGACCTACTTTGCAGATGTCCCCGTTGAGGCATACAAGTTAGTTCATGCTCATTCATCTCTTTAAACAATTGTGGTAATTATGAAATGAAGATTGCTCAAATAATTTTGCATTTCAGGACCATCACTTCCTTGAATTCCATCAGTGGTTTTGGATTTGATCTTGTGCGTGGAACCAAGAACCTTGATGTGATCAAAAGTGAGGGTTTTCCATCTGGAAAGTATCTGTTTGCAGGTATTGTGGATGGAAGGAACATTTGGGCCAATGATCTGGCTGCCTCCCTCAGCACACTTCAGGCCCTCGAGGATATTGTTGGCAAAGGTACTATTATATGTATTTCACTTTTTAAAAGTTAAAATGGTCGCATTTCTGATGTAATATGAAAGTTTTGGGTGGTATAAAAGTTAAAAGGTAAACTTTAGTTGTTAGATATAGATTTTGTTTTCCTTTCATTTCTGATATGTTTAGTCTTGCAAAAGCTAAATTTTAATTCTAAATTTATTTATTTATTTCTACAGACAAACTTGTTGTCTCAACATCATCCTCCCTCTTGCACACTGCTGTTGATCTTGTAAATGAAACAAAGTTGGATGATGAAATAAAGTCCTGGTTGGCCTTTGCTGCCCAGAAGGTGTTGGAAGTCAATGCACTCGCCAAAGCTTTGGCTGGTCATAAGGACGAGGTATTCTAAATCACTCCATTGTTTTCAGTCTCTTTTAAAAGATAGTTTCTTTGTGCAAAAAAATTATGGGCATTTACATTCATAACACCCAATTCTTATGTATTTACTTATCTAACACCTAAATTTTTCTTTTTCACAGTACAACTAAATTATTATATATAGCAACTGAATCGATGGAGATTCATAAAGCTATTTATTGTAGAAAAAGTTTGAGATGAAATTTCTTATAGAAATTTTCATTTTGTCATAAGGACTACATGGAAATTGTGAAATAAATTTTATTAGATAAGTCAACTAAATAATTAAACATTTACAAATCTAAGCGTGACAATAAAGTGTCTGAGAATCAATAGGACTACATGGAATCATGGGAAATTAATAAAATATATCATGATTTTCTTGGGACAATGACAGTATTTTTTTTGGAAGATTTTCATACACCACTCAAACTTATCAATTTACATATTTAACACCCAAACTTCAATTTTTGCATATATGCCGGCTCACTTATGCATGAGAATGTGTATTTCACTTTTTAAAAGTTAAAATAGAAGTATTTAAGCATAATTTAGGTGTTCGATATATATATATATATATATATATATATATACATAAGGGGTTGGTATGTATGTAAATGCCCCTTTTGTTCTATTTATGCACTCATTCCCTTGGTTTTATGTAAGACAGGTGCATCTCAGTCAATTTTTTTCTTTTTACATATTTAAAACCTAAATTTCAATTTTTACATATATGCCACATTATCTGTGCGTGAAAGTTGCTTTTCACTTTTTAGAAGCTAAAATAGTGGTATTTTTATGTGATACGAAGGATTTTGGGGGTACAAATGTAGAAAAAGCAAAATTGAGATGTTAAATATGCAAATACATAAGAATTAGGTTGTATTCATGTAAAAGCCCCTTTTCTTGTTCCTTTTTACTCACTAATTCTCTTGTTGCTATGTAAGTGATATATCCGTTATTTGCAACTTATAACCAATTTCCAATTTTTTTAGGCCTTCTTTTCGGCAAACGCTGCTGCTCTAGCTTCCAGGAAGTCATCTCCTCGCGTGACCAATCCTGACGTCCAGAAAGCTGTAAGTTGCCAACAATTACTATCTTGCATTTCACTGCTTTTAGCTATCACCAGATAACTCAATGATTCTCCTTTCCTATTCTCAGGCTGCCGCTTTAAAGGGCTCCGACCACCGTCGCACCACAAATGTCAGCGCCAGATTGGATGCCCAGCAGAAGAAACTGAACCTCCCAATTCTCCCCACCACCACCATTGGCTCCTTCCCCCAAACCATTGAACTCCGAAGAGTTCGCCGTGAGTACAAGGCCAACAAGTGAGTTTTCCTTACATCTGCTTGATTTTACATCCTACACGTTCTGTTGCCTTCAAATTTTATCGTCTTCCTTCTCCTCAGGATCTCTGAGGAAGCTTATATTCATGCAATCAAGGAGGAAATCAACAAGGTTGTTAAGATCCAGGAGGAGTTCGACATCGATGTCCTTGTCCATGGTGAACCTGAGGTACTACTTTCGAGTTTGGAAGATTTGCATGCACCCATTTGATTCTTAAGTATTTATTTATCTTACACCAAAATTTTATTTTTACATATATGTTGGCTTACCTATGCATCAATATAGGTGTTTCACTTTTTAATAGTTAAAATAGTAGCATTTTTTTGTGATATGAACACTCAGGTGATATAAATGTCAGAATTAAAGTTTTGGATATGTAATACTTAAGAATTGGGTGGTATGTTATGCTCTACCTCTCTTTTAGGGTGGACTAAAATTAAATAACGATAATAATAATAATAAATAAATGAATAAGACTATATACAATTAATGTTTTTAGAGAAAAAATGCAAACAATTAATGACAATACCACAAAATTTATAAGTAGAAGAAAACATAATAATAATAATAATAATAATAATAATGCAAAAAGAAATAAAGAAGGGGCTAATTTTGGCATTATTTATTAGGAGTGGACAAAAATATACTGAAATATTTACATACATTACCACTCAACTCCTATTTATTTAAATGTCTAACACCTAAACTTCAATTTTTACTCATATACCACCTTCCCATGCATGAAAAGGTGTGTTTAACTATTTCTAAAATTAAAAAAGTGATATTTTTGATGTTATATGATTTGGGTGGTAGAAGTATGAAAAGAAACTTGAAAAGAAACTTGTAGGCGTTAGGCGTTATATATATATATATATAAATACATAGGAATTCAGTGGTTTGTATGTAAATGCCCCGATGATAAACTGAAGATGGGCAAAATGCTAAAAAATAATTTCTTCATAACAGGATAAAAACTATGTGGTTAGTCATTTCCCCACACTTAGTTCCAAGTGTTTCCTCGAGTGGGTATATATGTAAATGCCACATTAAGTTTAAAGCACTAAAACGGTTTGTTAACGAAATTTGACAATTTATTTACTTCTCCTGCAGAGAAATGATATGGTGGAGTATTTCGGGGAGCAGCTCTCCGGTTTTGCTTTCACTGTTAATGGTTGGGTCCAGTCTTATGGCTCACGATGCGTCAAGCCCCCGATCATATATGGGGATGTGAGTCGCCCCAAGGCCATGACTGTCTTCTGGTCCACCTTGGCCCAGAGCATGACCTCCCGTCCGATGAAGGGAATGCTTACCGGCCCTGTTACAATCCTTAACTGGTCCTTTGTCCGAAATGACCAACCAAGGTTCCCCTTTTAACCCCTACTTCTCGCCCTCCATTCTCGTTCTTCGTGCCTTTGCATAAGACTCTTAACTTTTCATCCAGGTTTGAAACATGCTACCAGATTGCCCTCGCCATCAAGCAGGAAGTTGAAGATCTTGAAGCTGCTGGCATTAATGTGAGCTCTCTCTCTCTCTCTCTCTCTCTCTCTCTCTGGTGGTATTAGTCTGCATACATACAGACTCTGCACTAATAATTTTTTCTTCTTTGGACATGATTTGTATATGTGTGATTTTTTACAGGTTATCCAAATAGATGATTGGACATGATTTGTATATGTGTGATTTTTTACAGGTTATCCAAATAGATGAAGCTGCTCTGAGGGAAGGGCTTCCTCTCCGCAAATCTGAGGAGGCTTTCTACTTGGACTGGGCCGTTCATTCCTTCAGGATCACCAACTGTGGCGTCAAGGACACCACTCAGGTGCTTAATTTCTCATCTTCTTTCTTTTCTTTGCTCCTGCAAGCGAAACTAGCTGAGTTTGAGCGAGCTCAGGCGTAGTACAACTCAGCTCGTTAAGCAAATGACTCTTTTTTTATGTGTTTGAATTGTTTATTTATCGATTAGAAACATTCTAAGCCTTAATTTGCTCCTACAAGTGAAAATAGCTGAGTTTGAGCTCGTACAACTCAGCTCGTTAAGCAAAAAAACCCTGTGTTTTTTTTTTTGTTTGACGAGTTTATTTATGGATCCTAAAACATCTAAACATATATGTATACCACATAATTATTATGTTTTTTACATATCTATTACCCAAAGTTTGATATTTACATTTACAACATTTTAGTGTCATAAGCCTACACATGAAAAGGGGTACATCACTTTTAAAAAGATGTTGGTGCTGATATTTTTTATGTAAAGTTAATGAGTTCAATGGTATGCATGTAAATATGAATGTTTAATTAAGTGTTAGATATGTGAATATATAAGAATTGTTTGGTATGCATGTAAATATGGGGCATTTACTTACATTCCACCCAATTTCCATGTAATTACATATCTAACAATAAAACTTTAGTTTCTTTATTTATACCACCCAAATCTCTCATGTCACATAAAAAAACAATATCATTTTAATTTTTAAAAGGTGAAATATCTCCATATAAAAATTGAAGTTTAGGTGCTAGATATGTACACAAATAAGAATTGAGTAGTATGTATTTAAATATTGCTATATAAACATACACATCTTTATGCACTAGACGCCTAACACCGAAGACTTTCTACTTTCTTATGACAGATTCACACCCACATGTGCTACTCCAACTTCAACGACATCATTCACTCGATCATCGACATGGATGCGGACGTGATCACCATTGAGAACTCTCGTTCCGACGAGAAGCTCCTCTCTGTGTTCCGTGAGGGGGTCAAATACGGTGCCGGAATCGGCCCGGGCGTCTATGACATCCACTCTCCTCGGATTCCTTCGACCGAAGAAATTGCCGACCGCATCAGGAAGATGCTTGCGGTGCTTGAGACTAACATCCTTTGGGTCAACCCCGATTGCGGCTTGAAGACCCGCAAGTACACCGAGGTCAACCCCGCGCTCACCAACTTGGTTGCTGCTGCCAAGCAGCTCCGCACCGAGCTCGCCAGCGCCAAGTGAGAAGTGTTGGGTTCACACTTTGACCAATCTTTCCTCACTTATATAACTATTATGCTTTGCTTCGTCTCTTTGAAATTGTCTGTATTTGTTATCATGCTGCTTAGGCACTTTTATTACAATTGTACCTTTTTAATTTCTTTTTTCTTTTTTGTTTTCAATTACGAGTGATGTTAAGTGATTTTGGTTTTTGATTGATTATGAAGGCATATATGTAATGTGGAAGCATGAGAAATAATTTGCTCATATTGTTGCACATTTATAAAGAGTTGGTCCATTCAATTAAATATATTATTTGTTTTCATGAAGAATTTATTTGTTTTTCAATTAAAACATAAAATGCTTTTATTACAATTGTACCTTTTTAATTGTATGATGCACAAGAATCAGTTATCCTTTCATAAGAATCAATGTTAGGGAGTTTGAAGGCAGCTGGGATGGGGAGCCCGAGCACTGCCTCGGCCAAATGTGAAGACTCGTGGAAGTTATACCCCAAAGGGAACTCTTCTTAAACCAAGTGTCATAGCTCGTCAAAATTTAAGCTATTAGGAGCAGCAACAAGATGTGGTGGGTCTAAGTTTCACGAGTCAGAGCATGATCGACCAGCCTAGTTGCGTGCAAAAATATTAAGTAAATTAAATTTTTATAAGGATCATTAATAATTTTTATTATATAAAATCTATGTAAGTTCACATTTTAAAATGCCCATTTGCAATTTTGCATTATATTTTAACTCCATTTTTTCATCCCACCTCTTTTGACCCCTCTAAGAGAAACTGCTGCGTTCAAACGAACGTGCGATGATGTTATGGATCACACTACACCGTACGTTTCGTGACAGATGTTATGAATCACATCACGTTGTATGTCCGGTGGCATTATACCATCCACACTTTTATATTTACATATATAACACTAGTGTTTTAGACATATGCATGACATTGTGAATTTTACTTCAAAAAAAAATAGTAATAGTGATATTTTTATGTGAAATTAATGATGTGTTGTGTGTAAATATTGAAGTTTATGTTTGAGATATGCATACCACACAATTTTTTATTTACATATGTAACACCCAAACTTTAATATTTACATACATGCCACTTGTTTTAAAACAAAAGAGTATGCATCGCTTGAGCCATAAGCCCTTTACCATCATATATAAATAAAATCAATAACCCACTTGAATGAAGAAGATATAACCACAAGAATGCAAACATATATATATATCATATTTGAGAAGATATGTAAATAGAATAAAAATCACAGCAGATGCCTAGAAAATAAAAAAGGGGAAGATTTACATACACCCCACTTAATTCCCAAGTATTTACACATCCAACACCAAAGCTTCAATTTTTACATACAAGCCACCTTACCTATCTATACAAAGGTGTATTTCACTTTCCACGAGTTTAAATGAAGGTATTTTTATGTGATATAAAGGTTATGGGTGCTATAAATGTAAAAAATAAAGTTACAGCTATTAGATATATAAATATATAAGAGTTGGGAGGTATATGTGTAAATTCCCCCAAAAAACAGAACCACAATAAGCAATGTAAGAATATCTCAGAGGCTTAGAATTGTTATTAAATGAGAGTTCAATGAACCACAGTATAAAACAAAATGAAGTTCATAATATAGCTTAAATTATTGCTGTTAGTACTATGTGAGGAGGACTAATTCTTGATAGATCAGCAGATAACATAAATGGCTCATAAAATGTTTGGTAGATTCTCATGCTCGGAGAAATCCAAGCTCACGGCCACCCACGCACTATCACTAAAAGGCATGAGGGTGGCTCCTACAGGTAAAACAATGTCGGGCTTGCAAGGATACACCAAAACTCTATTACAAAGCAAGGAGGGGGAATCGAAAATCTTACCGATATCAGCATCGACGACTTTGTTGTCGTTGTCATCGACATCTCCGGAGGAACAATCGTTACTTTCTTCTTCTTTTGCCTTTCCATCCAAATCCAGCTTCGAAGCAGTGAGGTTTAGTTGATCTACATGGTTGCCAGAAAAGATTTCATCGTGATGTTCTACATTTTGACTGTTAATGTCTGAATTTGTACTAGAACCCAGCTTCAGATTAGAGAGGTTGAGCTTATCAGTACAGTCGGAGAAAAGGGTGTCGTCATCTAGTTCATTTATAATCATACTTGTATTCGACAAAACTTCATGATCTGTTTTATTTGTGACGACTCGTTCATCTTCAACTTTGCCTGATTCAATAATCATAAGGAGAAAAAATTTTCAGAAATCCTGCTGA